TTTAAAATTATGTTCGACGTTACAAGCAAGTTCTGTGCGCACAAAAGAACCTGCTGCAAGCTCCAGGCTTAGCATGGTCAACAGCCACCTAGCTACCGGCATTTTCCGAGCCTCCTCCCTCCCTTTCCCTCCCCCCTCTGTCTAATTGCCGCTTAATTAGCCGCTTGCAAATGCGTTATTCGTTTATTCTGCGTCAAAAGTATTGGATACTATAAATCGAACGTTCGCGATGTCCAAGTCTTGTTAAACGCTGTATTTCCCTTTACTTTAATTTACTCAATTCTATAGAAATTCCTGAGAAGCTTATTCGAGCCTCCAAATCCATAATCAGTATAGTTCAGCATATTTAGGATAGTAGGCAGTGCCTTTGAAGACCCTATTGAAAACAGATTACATAAAATATCCAAAATAAAATATGTTACTATAAAATAGTGAGTAACATATGCACATGTAAAATGTTGTTATCTATATGTGTGACCAAAGTGTTCGTGTCTACTTACAATGCTTTCCTGTGCTTATGAACGGTATCTACTGAGTAAATATGCATCGATGATGCGTTTGAATGCATCTGTCGTGTTTGCCAATACGACCTCCTCTGGCAGTCCGTTCCAGGTACCGATGACTCACTGTGAAAACGAATGCCTGCGGACATCTAGGTGGGATAAGGTTCCCCACAGTTTGAGGGGATTCCCACAGAGGTTGTTTGATGTGGCGAATGCGAAGACGTTATCAAACTGCGGGGCACACCCCCGGTTCCTCAAGTATCCGGATTCTAAGACCTACCGGAATAGCCGATAGGAGGGACAACACGAGTTCCGGAAAGCAGTTCAGGAGAAGAGGGTGGGATAGCTGGAACGCGTTGTTTGTCTTAGACCTAAAAATCTTGCTCGAAGCAATCATCAGACAACGCGCCGTGCATGACTGCGATAGAAATGACGCAGTTAAAGACCTGGGTGCGACAGATACCGTAATTATCACCCCGAACCCGACAGTATGGCGAGTGCTGTAAGCAAAATGCCGCAATTTGCGAAAGTCGGGTAATCCCTCGCAAACCAACGTTAAATAGGATTTTAATACTGATTATCATACAGCTTAATCTCAAGTCTTTTCAGTCACGTAAAGATGCCGGCTTATTAATGAGCTTCTTTCTGACCGCTTACAAAAAGGTGATTCTTGAAAAAATGGCTACTTTATTAGTATGCATTTGTATCATTGACTGCCTCGATAAAATCTATGATAAAAACGCATACTAATTTAGTAACCATTTTTTCAAAATCTACGTTTTATAAACGGACAGAAAGAAGCTCTTGAATAAGCCGCCTTCCTGAAGTTACCGAAAAGACTTCAGATTAGGCTGCATAATAATCGGTAGAATAATCCTGCTTAAGGCTGCTTTGCGAGTGATTACCAGTCTTTCGCAAAGTGTGAAATTTTGCTTGCAGCATTCGGCGTACTTTACATGACAACTGTCCTATATAAGTGCTGCATTTCATGTGCGAGCGTGTCTGATGATGGGTTGGTGATGGTATTCCAAAAAGTCTGGTAGCTACACTCCTTGTTCCTGCGATCGCATCTTTTTTCTCCTAGTACCAGAATAGCCACCCTTACAGCCTGCTGATGTTGGCAGACTGGAAACTCGATAGGAAATAAAGTCGTGGTTGAGTTCTTCTGTCTTTTCTGATACCAAACATGTTGTCTCTTCAACAGTCCCTATACAAACATTATTGAGGCAGCAACCCTTGGCGCCCTCGACGCCATCCCCTTATGCGCTGGCATTGCTGCTAACCTAATGGCTGCACTCAGCATGTTCAGTCTCTTCAACAGCATTCTCGTATGGATCGGTCGAAACATTGGCATACAAAGGGACCTCACCCTCGAGGTAAGAAAAATGTTTTCTACGCGAATTATTTCAGTGAAACCTGAAAAAAGGCCTGTTTCCATTATCTTAACCTATCTAATCCCATCTTTCTAACCACAAAATCATCACCACTCATTGATGAGCGTTCACCTGACCACTAACGAAACTCGCCTGTCCCGCTCTGCCTTGAGTCTCGCCAGAGGCCCTGGCAGACGTAACAGCTGGAAGAAGGTAGATATTATTGCAGCAAAGACAAGGGACCTGGCCTAAACCGGCGAAACAACGAGCCCGTGACTCAATTGTTAAGGTGTTTAACTCTGATCAAAATGTCTGCTAGTTTGAGGCTCGGAAGGGACACCACTTGAGTCTGGGTATGACCGTTTTATGGACCAGAAATGACCATTCCAGCCTCCCTTTTCTTTGCCGGCAATACTATCTGTCCAAAATCAGTACCCTTTGTGTCGGTTAACCATGTTTCACGATAATCGACAGCTCATCGCTCCTCAACCATCTGCAGGTGCTCCAAATCCACGTGGAACGACCATATGCTGTCCGGAAATTGCGTCCAGTTCACGAAGTCTACTGTCTGGATACAAGAATTAATGCGCTTGCACAAACCTATATCCAGTGAAGGCCTCCTGATGACTGTGCGCCTTGGCGCAGGCTCATGCCTTACGCGTGGTAATCAGGGCATATTACTCACTATTAAAAATGAGACATACGTTTAAACTATCACCGTGCACTAAAACAGCGGTTTGGAACGCCGGTGGCCATGCACTCAGAGCCCACGGCCTCGAGTCATGCGCACAGGCAAACGGCGAATGCTATCGACCGCTCATACAGCGCGAGGAATTATCGATTAGCGTGCACACGTGACGATCGTTCATGCAGCTTGGAGAATTAACGATTTGAAGGCATACGTAATGACCGCTCACATAACGAGGCCAAATATCGATCCGCTGCAGACCAGAACAGCGGTCGCATGCTATTGGGCCAGGAGTATTCTAGAATGCCAGAGCCTCATAAATAGGTTCTATTGGAGAAGCTAAGGATTCCGCTGTCTCTGTATTGTGGTGAATAAAGACTTACGATTAGAACCGGCTTTGCCTTCTCTTCTGCCTACCAGTCGGGTTCGAAATACTGGGTTATAACAAGAAGGCTACCAATTGCCACAAGAACCCGGTCCTCTTCGGATGGAGAGTCAGGCTGTTATGGCTCCTTCTCAGTGCGAAGCTACCTCTTTGTTGTTTCCGTGAAAAACTATTCCAGCGCGCGCACGTGTGTGGCACGCGTAGCTGGGCTGTTTAGCCACATGTCAGCAAATCCACTCGGTCCTGCCTTCATGGTGCGATGTTGATAACGGGCCTAGATGAGTGAGGGAGAAGGATAGAGTGTGGTATATAATGCCCAAAATAGATTCTCTACATATACACCGGCAAACAGTTTTCAATTTGTCGATGAAATAAGTCATCAAAATATTGCTGGCAAA